ATGTTATTGGGCTCGTTGCTGCATATGGGTATTTTCGTGACAAGATGCACTAATTGTAAGGCGTTAAAAGTACTAAGCGGTCACTAAACGGCTACTATAATTCGTATGGTACATGTTCAATGTTCATGAAATACCGATACCTGTTAAAGTAAACAGCAAGTTTCAAAACGCCGCTATTTGTCTGTAAAAAAATGCCGTTTACACAACAGATTAAAAAAATATATTAGACGAAATCGATCGTCAAGCTTCTTCGTTAAAAAATGTGAGAACGTTACAAATGTGAAGATATAACTGACACGATTATTAACGCTACAATTTCCTTCATAAAGATAGAATCAACTGATCTGTTATTTCATTATTTTATAGAAAAACGATATAATTGTCATTATTAATTCTAATGTTAAAAGTTGGTAATTTCTATAATAGAATCGAAATAGTTACTATCGATCATAACAGATCATAATCGATGATCGCAAAGAAGATACTTTGAAAAATTTATATTCGATACAAAAGCAAACCGAATACTGATAGTTGGTGATTTTTATGAACAATAATTGGTATTTTACGTATTTAATCGTGATGCGTGTGCGTATTTGATAACGTGTTTACTGCGTGATTGTATAACGTATTTACTGCTCATACACACAAAATAATTCATTATTGCGCAAAAATTGGGAAATTACAAACAATTATACTATTAATTTAAATTCGAATTGTTAGTTGTTCTTTTATAACAATTTTTATGAACAATGATCGAGAACAAATATCTATTGACAGAAAGTTTGAGTAATGTAGCATTTTGAGAAAGTTAAAAAAAAATACAATTATCAGATTTTGTGCTCTATGTCAAATATTTACAATATTTGATCGAAGAATATATATATGATGGAATAATATATATACATATATATGATGGAAAAAAAAGATAGAATTTATAACGAGACACAACCTCTGTGTAAAGGGGGAAAAAACAATTTTAGTGCGTTTGTAGAAGAAAATTTCTGCAATACAACATAGCAATCGTGAAAAAACTAGCTGAAACTGTACGAAACGACGAGAACTCTGTGATTTTGATTTCAATATTTCGGGATATGAAGCGACGAGCCGAAAGTGAAGCGTAATATCGTGATATATTGTGGAACGACTTAGTGATTGATCGATCTCTAGAGATCAATGGCTCCAGCAAGTACTCTCGACTACTCGGAACCGTGTCAACAATGGCGATATCCAAAAATCTGCTCGGTGACGGCTGATGAAAAAACCGACTGTCCCAAGAGTACTGTAGAATCAAACGGCAAAGAAGCCAACTCCGCCTACAAAAAATTCTGCAAGTTTCTTCGCCGATTAAGCAACAAGAAACGTAAGTCCATCCAGCGGTTAACATACAATCTATTATTTAAAAAGTGACTCAAATTACGAGACTCTTTTATTAGAGTTTATTGTTTTATCAGAGTAAGCGTTTGAAATTATCTTTATACATATGTGATGGTTTCTAAAACATCGGTTATATGTACTCTTATATTGTCAAAGGAAACCAATACGGCCTTTATGTTATTGTTCTTAAGACAAGTAACAAGAAAAAAAAGATCTGTTGCTTATTGGTGCGTCGTAAGGTGTCCATCCGGTTTTCAGAGTGATTTTGCGCTATTTTACGATTTCTCTGTTCGAGTGATTGACTAATCTTCATGATGACGTATTTTATAATATCGAGTGCCTTTGTTCATCACATCACAGAACCGTGTCATCCTCTGACATTTACACCTCTTCTCGGTGTACCGTATTTATTCTTGGTCACACCTATCGTCGTGTGGCGTGGTTTTTCTATATCTGTTCGAGAGTGAAAACGATAGATCGAGAGGGTGTACAGGGGCGAGAGAGGGAGCAAAGCGTGTGGAGGGAAAATCGATGAGTATCTGCTATCTTCGATACTGTTTCCCACGAGAACACGCTGAAGCAGGGTCTTTTCATTACGGCAACATAAAGTAAAAAATATTAAATATTAATTACAAATTATAAAATCCAAATGAACGGACAGTTGAATATATTTTGTAGTTACTTTACAAACAAAGTAATGTATATAGTGAGGTAATGATGAAAAATCTGGACTACTTTTCTCTAAATTTAATCCGAACTTTAAAAATAAAATTACTTTTCCATCAATTCAATATCTCCTTTCCCCCCTCCCCCTTCTCTCATTCTCTCTCTCTCTCTCTCTCTCTCTCTCTCTCTCTCTCTCTCTCTCTCTCTCTCTCTCTCTCTCTCTCTCTCTGCTTGATTATTATATAACAAGAAACTACTTTTTAACCAAATAACTGCCTTTATAAATGTAATTGGATTCTTCTATTTTCGCTCTTTTCCATTCTTGACGGCTCTCTGTTTTTTATCAGCTCTAAAAAGAATCTTTTATTTCTTATTACTCATACCATTTCTTTTATCAGTTATATATTTACTTAAACACGTGACTATGTTAGAGTGAGAAAGCGAGTGAAAAGTAGAAAATAACTTATGCGTATCCATGAGTTCTTGGAATAAAAGTGAATTGAGTGAGGGGAGGAGGGGATTGAAGGGAAATTAAGAATAGAGAATTTGTTTGATATGTTGAGAATAAAAAAAATTGGTTGGCACGTGGTGTTATTATCTACATATTGATAATAAAACATTGAAAACTGCAAGAATGTTCTTGCATAAGTTGTAATATCGAGCAAGTTTAACCACGAATGGTTGTTCTTAACCCTTTATCTATCTGCACGGCATATTTTGTTAAACCGAGCACGATTGCCTTTGACAATCACAAAGTAACGCTCTCGGTAACGTCCACTGTGAGGGACGTTCCCTCAAGTTGCGTGAAATGTCACCGCAAGGGCCGATGTGGGTTTTTCTCAAGTTTTCTTGCTTCACAAGCAGGGGTTGTGTGCTACACTGAAAAAGTCCACTGCAAAAGTCCAAGTTTCTCTCGATGCTCACGTAATGTGCACCTAAAAAGGTTTACGAGACGTGCTGATGTATCTGCTGCTGTATCGTTTTATCATATTTTTGCTTGCATGCTAGATTTAGTTAGATGTTAGTTTTTCAATCTCTTACTATATTATATTTAACTTAATCCATTCCCTCTGCAATGCAATTATAGCTATTAGTCTATTAACTTTTTGAAAACTTTTTGAAAATTTCCAAAATATTTCGTACATATAAGTGAAATCTATCTTTTTTTTAATAAAATTTTGTAAAAGTAATTATTTCAAAATAATTCTATTTAAATAAAAACTCTGAACAAGTAAGATACAAATTTTATTATAATATTCTATATATACATTCTATACTTTTCTACACTTGTTATAGAAAATAATATGCAGAATAAGGCGAAGAGAATAAAATAGAGCGAGGGAACATGTAGAGAGAATGTAGAAGAGAATAGAAGAGAGTGCTGCATATTTTTTTTATACTCTATAAAATCGCTATATCACTATATTATAAAATTAACTGCATTTTGAAAGGGCAGTAAATAATCTATTTTGGATAGAGATAAAGACATCAATACCTCTACATTTTCCTTGTGCAATATATAGAGATATTGATAGATAGAATAGATTTCGTGCTTTTTTCTTAAAATCTAATCTTACTAAATCTTACCAAATCCTAATTATGTACTTCGGACCATATCAAACTTGGAAATTTACTTTATTTAATGTATTTCAATTTTATTCTCTTTTTTCGAAACCAACAATTTTATTAATCATATCCAACTCGTACAATTGTAACATTAGCATATATCTTTTGCTTTGCTAGAGTGATGAATCTATAGTATGTAAAATTATAATATATAAGCAAGCGAGTGAGTGAGTGAGAGAGTGAGAGTGAGTGAGTGAGAGAGTGAGAGTGCGTGAGTGAGTGAGTGAGTGAGAGAAATTAGTATTAACTTTTATGGAAGGCCTAACTAGTAAAAAGTATCATGTATAAGTAAAAGTAATTGAAAATAAAAATAATAATGCATAGAGGTGTACGCTATACATATATGTGTAGAAATTTTTGTAGTTTAAGTTTAATAGATTCATTTTCTTAGTAAAGTGAAAAATTTTACACTGTACTTAAATGTTACAGTGCTATTAATATTGTATTTAGTATATGGATAAAATTTTATTTATTACAATAATATTACATCTATAGTTATACTCAAAGTGATATTACTACACTACTATATAATTTAAAATATTACACTACACGTGTGATATTCTGAATTATTATCACTTTATATTTTTATTATCGTATTGAGAAATTTGGAGCTTTTTTCAATATGATTTATTTTTATATATCACTATATGATTTTAATGAGTCGTTTTGGCTTGAAATCATATTATAATATTAGTAACAATAACGAAAACAAATCAAGGATCAGGCTATTCTTGATCGGCGTATGTAAGATGACTCAAAATTACACGTGAAAGTAATAGTGATAACCACTAGAATCTGAGATGTCCTAATTTATGTAATGGTTTCTGGAATTGTAATTTTTCTAACGATGCTCATTTTCTCTACTTCTGCGAAATGGGAAGCAATTGTAGAAAGAGAAATTAAAATAATAAAATTAATAATATAATATTCAGTGAATTGATTTTAATACTAATGCTGTATTTACTTTTATCTACTGTATTAATGCCCTATCTTTTGTTATTAATAAATTATTATTGTAAAACATTGTTGCACATTAACACGTTGCATTTTGTTAGGATTAATTTCTACATATGTATTATTCTGAATTTTAAAATAATTATCTGTTTCGTAATTTTTTTTTTACATTTCTGCAAATGAAAAACAAGCTTCGAATTTTTTTCCGGAAAATTTTTTGGAATTAGCAATTATTGAAAAACTGAAAAAATGGCTTTGTCTGTTGTGCACTTTTGGAGAAAATTTGGTTTCCTGTTTCTTTCTGTACCTTCCGGTTTTCTTTCTCTATACTATAACGCTGTGTTTTCCTGATTTATTTCTGTGGGTCGTGCAATGTGCAGGCAAGGATGGCAGCAAGGTAACGACCGTGGTGGCAACCCCCGGTGCCGGGCCGGACCGTCCTCAAGAGGTCGCCTATACCGACACCAAGGTCATTGGCAATGGCAGCTTCGGCGTGGTATACCAAGCCAAACTTTGCGACTCGGGCGAGATGGTCGCCATCAAAAAGGTTCTCCAGGATAAACGATTTAAGGTCAGCGCATTCTTACGTTACTGAGACAAGTGCAAGTAATGGAAACGTTTCCTATTTTTTTCAATTATTCCAAATAAAATTACAAATTATAAAAATCATATAAAAAATATTTCCATTGGCGAGAAAGATATTACAATAATGTACAAATATTCGACTTGAGAAGCCCGCTGTTAATTGTGACGTTACAGTACAATGGAATTTACATTACATTGTTAAATAATGTAAAGAGAAGTGATGCGATACCAGAGTTACATGCGATTAGAGTTAGCATTGTGTTTTTTGTGTGTAATGTAATTTTATTTGACATGTACCGTGACGTAATTAACGTAATGAATGAAAGCACGTTTGCGGACACGTGGCATTTTTTAAATGTTTTATGATTTTCAATTAATTAATATGCAATACTCACAAACACGTAAGATTTATTTTTGTAACGTATCCAACACTTATACTGGTACTCTAAACTTAGCAAAAGAATTTGAGAAAACAAACATTTTTTTAAAAATATTTTCTAAAAAATAACTCTTTGCATTCTTTTTTTTTCAGAACAGGGAATTACAAATCATGCGACGCCTCGAGCATTGCAACATTGTGAAACTCAAATATTTCTTTTATTCTAGCGGTGATAAGGTAACTGTCTCAACTTTAAAATCTTCTTCAATTTTAAACAAAGACTAGTGTCCTGTCTGTCATAATTTCAAAGATTCTTCATCATTCTACTTGTTAAGTCGAGAATCTCACAAAAAATGAATCAACGAATCAGTGCGACATCAATCAGTATTACAATCAGTAGTTGATTAATGCATGATTATGAGTTTTGTCGTTATCGGTTTGTTACGTAATGACGCGTGATGATACGTCTTGTCGAACTATAAATAGCACAAAAGATATTCCTTATTTAATGCATGCCACATTGTTATGTTATTTTGTAGAACATCTTAACCGCGACTAATCCGGTTTTTCACGTTGACGTAAGTTGAAGCGCACCCAATAGTAGTTTATGCGAAAATCCCCTTTTTGGTGAAGAAGATTTTAGGCAAATTTTCGCTTCCACATAAAAATGCACAACATTTTTACATTTATATCACGTTGTCTCAAAATGTCATTTTGAAGATGTTTCATCCTTGATCTGATTCCCATTAGATCACATTGCTTTCGTAGTATTAGTACGTAACTCTTCCGAAAGCGTGTGTATTAATTAATAACCGAAAGTACCGATGTGTGTGTCCAAGAGAGAAATAATGACGACATAGATCATTCAAATGGTATATCTATAGGATGTGTCCCACAATTCGCCACAACACTACAATTAATTCATGTCTGCGAAGTTAGTATTTTTATCAGAAAACATTGAAATGGTTATTTCAAAAATTCAATGCCATTTACATGTTAGTTTAACGCTTTATTCATGATTTTAACTTGATTTTAACATGATTTTAATTTGATGTAGCAAATACAGTCATTTTTTATTAACAGGGCCCGGTTAATTGAAGCAGTTATTTGGGACAAATCTTAAAAAAACAGATTTCAGTAGATAAAAGATCAGTGTTTAGATAATTGGGGCAGCCGCTTAATTGAGCCAAAATGTTATATCCCGATGTGTCTTAATTATATATACAATACATAATATAATTTAAGTATATAATATATATGATATAATTAATATAATCCCAAATAAAATATAGTTCTAAAGAATATATAATATAATTAAAGATTAAATATATATGATTGAATATAGGAGAGCTAGTGACGCGCGCGCGCGCGCGCGTAAAGTTAGCATCCCGTTAATGCAGGAAATAGAAAGATACACATAATTTTGTGCTTCTTAAGTGGCTAAAAGCCAAAATTTACAAATTCACAACTTTATACATTTTACATTATATTCTTACAAATTGTAGTATTCTTGCATACATTTCACATTATACTCTTACAAATTGTGGTTTTTGTCAGCTCATATCTTCTAAACCAAATAGATGGCTAATTTTGGTAGATAGGTCAATAGTAGTATAATTTTGCTTATAGCTTCTAAAAATGCCACTTAAGAAATACTAAATTGTGATATATTTCTTTTTATTTTCTTTTATTCTCTGCGTTATTTAACGGTGCTTTACAGACAATTAGCACTCTCACTTTCAATTGCATATTTCTGCTAAACGATTGAAGCACTAAACTAACATTTAATTAAATGGCTTTAAATTTTTGTACAAATCCCATTTAAAATTTTTCTGGCGGGGTCGCTAATTTTACAGATATAATTAATTTTAATTACAGATTTTCTGATTAATTCAAAATCAGTTTTCCTCAGTTAAGATTCGAAAGTGCTAATAATGTGAAGAAAGGAATAGGAGTGAAATAATGTAAACAAAACATTTTTTCCGAACAGATACACAAACAAAAAATTATATTTATTATATTATAATAGTAACTAATTGTGTATTTTGTATTTAATTCTAATTATAATCTAATGGAATTTTAATTCTTTATTAATTTTGAATTAAAACATTTATTTACAAGGAGAAATGTGTAGAATATTAGAAATTAGAAAATGGAAATATATAAGAAAAATGAAAAAATTGAAATTATTGTGCATAACAATTAATTATAATAATCATAGTATCAAAACTGATTTCTAATTGTGTAGAAAAAATTTGTCCTTAAAATTTGAGTCGCCAGTTGTGGGATATTCCATGTACGGTACATGAGGAAAAAGGTACATGATGTACCTTTTTCTAGCGGTAGCGGCAATATCGAACGCGGCAATATCATTAATGTTTGGTTTTGGAATAGCGTGTCTTTGAGACGACAAATATTCGTAGACAAATTTCCGTTTTGTGAATTTGCAATGAAATATACTTACTTTTTCCTTTTCTTTTTTTTTTAGAAGGACGAGGTTTACCTCAATCTAGTCCTGGAATACATACCCGAAACTGTGTACAAAGTCGCTCGACATTATAGCAAAAGCAAGCAAACGATACCAATCAGTTTTATCAAGGTAAGTCATTTGTGAAAATATTTCCAGACCAATGTTAAATTGTAAATCTGCTCTATATTCCATTAAAGTTTATTACATAGGTCCATTGTTGTTGGGAAAACAGAATAATTTTCCACAGTTTCTTATGCGTCCAATGCGAATCCAGTCTTTACAAAATGCATACCCGAGAAAAAATGGTATAATATAGTCAGATGTAAATATATATATAATTGCTTATGAAAAGATCTGATAACATGTAATATTTTATATGATCATATAAAAATAGGATTACATATGTTATCAGATCTTTTCATAACTAATTATATATTATATATTTACATCTGACCAATTGTACCATTTTTTCTCGGGTATTACATTAAAATTTTGAGAAAAATCTAAAATATGCCAAAAATAGCGAATTTCGCTATTTGCAGTGTTATTTCGAAAAAATGTTTGTTGTTTTGTTTAAATTATCTTAAAATAATTTTTCTTTTTAAAATAGATTTTATTTTGTTTTCTACGCAGGATTCTCAGATCTATGCACTATTTGTCGTGAGCTTATTGACGTGAAATAGATTATTTAGCCATCTGATTGTGAGTGACATCAATTCTACTCAATGTTATCCAGAGTGCATTATATGGAAGTGACGTACATCATTTTTTTCATTTATTTATTTTATTTTACTTGCACATTTATTTTGAAAAGAATGGTTAGTGCTTTAAGAGAACGTAAATGTTATTGAAGGAGAGAATTAATTTTTGTTTTTAAAATAATATCGTAAATATGGCCAAAATCGTTTGTTTTTGACATATTTTTCTTTAATTTTCTACAAATACGAAATCCTGCTGTGACGATATGACACACTTTTCGAGGACGGATTCAAATGCAGCTTAAAAATCTACAGAAAAGTATTCTTCATTTCGAAATAACAAAAGATATTCTAATTTTACAGAGCAATATTATGATTATTAAAAATATATTTACGAACTTATTTTTCCAGCTCTATATGTATCAACTGTTTCGTTCTTTGGCGTATATCCACTCGCTGGGGATTTGCCATAGAGATATCAAGCCGCAAAATCTACTCCTAGACCCAGATACCGGCGTTCTGAAGCTGTGCGACTTTGGCTCGGCCAAGCACCTGGTTAAAGGCGAGCCTAACGTGTCTTACATCTGCAGTCGCTACTACCGCGCACCTGAGCTCATTTTTGGCGCTATCGATTACACTACAAAGATTGGTAAACTCGAAATGGAAATTAACATTTATCATCTTCTTCATTAATTCTTGTGTTAAACTGATATTCAAATCGTAAATAATTTTCAATTATTGTGTGTGATTGAGAATAATTAATTATCTTATTAGACAGATAATAGATCATTATTATTCAACTATTTAAATTGACAGACATTTGGTAATCACAAATATCTGTTTCACGAATCCTTGTTTAAAAGACTTTTGTTGTAACACTTGAAATTAATCTGTGAATTTTTTATTCTTTCATAAAAATTAATATTGTTGATCTTTAATCTCAAACAGCTCCAATAGTCATTGGTTCGTTAAGTAAAGATACTAGTAGTTAATAAGAGTTTGTTTATCCGTCTGTCAATTAGTTTGACATCATTTGTTAATCTCACGTATAATTATCGTGAAAATAATTTTCAGTTATTGCAAAGAACTTTATTATGACAATATATTAAATATTAGAAAATTTTAAGATTAAAATATAATATATGTATATCAAGCAGAAATCCGGACCGTGAACCGAAACCGGAATTGAAAAAAAAAAACTGAAAAAAAATCGAAAATTAATTATTAATTGATCCGGTTATGATTCCGATGTTATAAACTTTATGAAATTTCGGTTCAATTATAGTTTCGATTTGATCAAAAACGAAACGATTACGATTACGATTCCGACACCGATTACGAAACGGGTTTTCTGGTTAATTCTGGTTCGGTTCAGGTCCCTGATATCAAAAATGTTTTCAACTTTTATTAACTACTTCGTAGTTTTGTTCATAATTTTAAGCAATAATTACATCTATCATACACAAATTCGAGATCAGCGAAATAACAAGTGATTTATAGATATAGATGTTTTATAAATTAAAAGTTATAAATCTCTGAATTCTTGCAAAGAATTAAATTTAACGCAGATTGACAAATAATCAGAGTATTATCTTTTTTTTAAATCTATACGCGTATTTGTATAAGATTATTTAATCTTTAGCAGATATCAAAAACTATGATCTATTCAATTCCATGGCATTGCGAAAAAGCATTGCTATTAATTTTAAAAGATAGAAAAAAATTACAATTTTTTCTTTTTTATATTATTATAATTTTTTAATATAAAAAAATTCTTATAACGTTATTTTGTTGTAATACTTAATAATGTATAATGCTAAAGAAAAAATATTTTTTATATTTTTTCGACAGATGTTTGGAGCGCAGGTTGCGTGCTGGCAGAGCTGTTGCTGGGTCAGCCGATATTTCCCGGTGACAGCGGTGTCGATCAGTTGGTAGAGATTATCAAAGTCCTCGGTACACCTACGCGCGATCAGATACGTGAAATGAACCCCAACTATACTGAATTCAAATTTCCACAAATTAAGTCGCATCCCTGGCAAAAGGTAGTGAACTATTTTACTTTCATATAATTTAATAATATATGTCATTATATTAATATATGTATAACTTGCTATCATTCGCAACACGCATTCATTCAGCGACATCTTCTACACGCTTTCTTCATGTTGTGTGATTGTCCTACTTTTATTCCATATAAAAATCTATTAACTTTATGACTGAATGAACATTATCGCACATAACACTAATTTATGAAGTTGAACTTTTTTTGTTATTTGGAAAAGAAGAGTAATTTTTCATGCGTTAAATCTGAATTCGGCCTTGAAAAGTACAGATCATATTAGGGGATTTCGAAAAATTCAAAGAAAAATATGTCCAGGAAACTAGAGAAAGTTGTTCTTTTTCCAAGAAAACAGATTTATACAAGGTAATGTAATAAACTTTTAATTGAACATAAAATAATATGGAAAACTACTCTTCCTTTTTCTTCTTTTTCTTCTTTTTCTTCTTTTAAGAGGCAATGCAAGGCAATGTGATAGGATAACATATTTCCACTTTGCATAGATAATGGAAATTGTTTTTTAACTTTTTTAACATAATTCAAAATTATATAAATATAGGTTTTTCAGAACTATGGCTCGCGGATGTGACCTGAATAAGACAATTGTGTAAATAATAAATTAATTAATCAATTAATTTCTTTTAATAAAATAGGAAGATAAGTTTAATGTAACATTAAATATATAAGGAATTATGCAATACACAATTTCGAGAAGAAGGTATATTTCTTCGTGTTTAAAAAAACTTAATTGATGGCGCAGTAGCGCTTCGATCAGTACTATTCATCAATACATGTACTCGTGGTTTGCAGTATATGCTTCAACGAATGAGTGAAACATCTATGTGTTCCACGGAGCACCAAAAGATTAGAGTAAGTGGTCCGGCTTTTGCAACAAGTATTATTCAATCTGGCTGGCACAAATGTTTCTCTCTATATTGGTTCGTCATACTAACATAGCACAATATAACACCCAAACTCTCATTTCAATATCCAAATGATTTACTACGCGCGTGCAGGTTTTATCCTACACAATCATTAATTTTAATTCAGTTATAGATTAATAATAATAATAATAATAATAATAGTAATAATAATAATAATAATAATAATAATAAAAAGAGAGAAATAAAGAAAAAGAAAAAAAACAGTTTTTCACTATTTTCTTCTGCA